TAGAAATTATCAGATAAGAAAATAAATAAAAAAAACATATGTTGAGTTTAAAATTATAATTTCAAAAAATATCTTTAAATAAAACAAAATTAGACCTAAAAACACATAAAATATGATTCATACTAGTTAAAAAATAAATACCACTTAATTTAAATTTATTAAGTTATTACAAGTTGCAACTTTTTTTTTGGTGTAGTTTAATTTCTTCTATACTTTTTTCTTCTTGCTTTGCTAGATGACAGATAGTTTTACTTTTTTTAAGAACTTTTTTTCTTTCATCATACTTGTGTTTTATCATAGATACTTTGGTTCTTGAATAATCAAGTAATTCTTTTCTCTCTTTATCTGTTTTGCTATTAAGCCATTCTAAATCCAAAATGGCTAAATCACTTTCTGATGCTTTGTTAGTAACAGAAACATTAGAAGCTGTCTCAGCAATTGAATCAGATGGATCCAATATTTTCTACCAGGTAACTGATCAGCACACTGAAGTTCCAAAATAACAAGAATAGCATAAAAAATAACTTTAAGTGATTGTATAGTCAAAGAATCAAACTCATCATTTTGTATGTCTTCAAACAGTTTGCAGTAGACCATATCTTTATGAAGAAGATTAGTATCTTCCAAAGTTTTTCCATTTGCAAACAATAAAGAAGAAGCATCTTTACAAAGAATTGAGTGTTTGATTTTCAAACAAAGTAGGTAGGAGTTCAATAGCAAAATGCTATCAAGTGATTCGATATTTTGCCACAAAGTACCTGTACGTAGTTTGTCAATGGTTGTCAATGACCTAATGCACGAACTTCAGCAATAAATACAAGATTTGTGATATCTTTTGTTATAGTCTTTAATAAATTATTTGGATTTGGCCATGCGTTAAGAAATTCTATTATTGCATCTTTGTGATAAGGCAGCAGCATTATAGTTTAAAATATTAAAACAATTTCCAATAAATGAAACAAAAATAACTTTTCATTACGAGAGAAAAGAAAAAAATTAAAATATGAAGCAACACCAGCTTCCTCAACTACCCTTTAAATGAAATGCCTTACATGCTGTACGAACCAACCTAGCAACGCTACTTTCTTTACTAATAAAAGCAAAAACATTCTCATAATTATCTTGTAACAAAATATCTTCAAAAGAATTCAAAACTTTATCAGTTTCAGATGCAAGATTAGCATGCAAATGGAGTTTTGATGAAAAAATTACTCATATTCTTTATATTATCTTTGACATCTGAAGAAAATAAATCCCAATTATTGATTGCAATTAGCAAAAAATTTTCTCTTAATGCTTTTAATTGTGAAATCAACGCAAAATCTACAATATACTGCATTGTAAGAGGTATCTTTTAACGTTAAATACCAATCATAAATTTCTTAAGCATTTTATCTAAACAATTTTTTAATAAAGTCAAGAAAATTTATAAATTTAAATCAGTCTTAACATCATACCTCAATAAATTTAATGAGTTAAAAGGTTATTTATTTATTAAAGCAATACAATTATGTTTTAAATACAATGTTATAAATTCTACAATAGTACCTTAAAATTCTACAAATCACCTTAAAAAAACCCACCCTGACAAAAAAATTAAAAACTCATGTAAATAACAAATAAATAACTGCGCTATAGTGGCTCTGAAGTGGTTTTTTATAATCTTCAGTTTACTAAAAGATCTTTCACCCTCTGCAACGGATACTGGCATTTTGTGGAAGATGCGCAAAAGTATGCATATCGACGGGAAAATTGGTTGTAAGCCTTTGGAATATATTTGATTTAAAAGATTGAGAGAGTTGCCTTTACTGAACAAGGACGATGCTTTCAACCGGTCAAAGTGGCAAATTTCCTCAATAATATTGTCTTCTTTAACGTCATTTGAATAGAATTTTGCAAGTTGACGAGCTTTGTCATCTTGTGAAGAAGGGTCTTCAGGCTGAAGCCAGATAAAGGAAAACTGAGAAGAAACCTTTTTCACCACATTGAACCTTGACTGAATTTGTAGAATTATGTGGTCTAATGCCACGTTGAAAATATTTACTTCAAAATTCTTTTCTGTATCGTCGTGGTAGTGGGCTGTATTTGATGGTTCCTCGTTGAATTTTTTGCACTCTTCTTGTGCGTTTTACTTTAAATTCTGTTTCAAAGCCTAGGTTTCCAGCCACTAGCTTTGCTTCAGTCAAAATACAATTCCACAACGAACAAATGCGACCTAGGTCATCTAGAAGTAGTTGAATGAGGATGACTTCTTCAATGGTGATTGACTCTGACTGGAGACATCGACTAACATTATCAATATTTTGCAGTGTCTTATACCAAATGGTCAGAAGAACTACTGATTCAAATGACTTAAAATATTTGCCCAACGATTTTGTTTGATTCAACATGTCCGCAGTTTGATCTCAGCGCAAGACTCAGCAGCATGAACTCCAGCTAAATTTAAACTATGAGCACCGCAAGGAATGTATAAAGCGAACGGATTTTTTTTCAGTATATGAGCTTGGGCTCCATTATAGATTCCAGCCATATTAGAACAATTGTCGTATCCTTGGCCTCTCAATTTTTGTAAATCGAGATTCACTTTTGCTAAAACGTTGCAAATTAAATAAGCAATATCTGCACCTTTCTTTTTCTCCATATCTTCAACGCAGAGAAATCGTTCTTTAACTTCCCAAATCATCTTACCCGAGTTGAATCGCACAAATCGAAGAATAAACGTGATTTGTTCGGTGTGAGATACATCTGGGGTCCCATCGGTAATTATCGTAAAATATACGGCATCTTTTACTTCTTTCACAACTGCTGCTTGAACTAATGTAGCGCATTCACTGATGAATTTGTTTTGTTATTGCCAGGAGAGATAGTGAGCTTGCATTCTGGTTCCTTTATTTTAATGACGAGCAACTGTTTCTAGATGATTCTTTAATGTTTCGTTGTGACGAGAAATAAGTTCAAGGCAACTTAAAAGTTCCCTTTCTCGTTCTTCTCCATCGACGAATATTGCCCTAAAACAATGTTTTCTAAGTTAGTTAAATGTAGATAATAGAAATTCTGTAATACTAAAAATAAGAACTTATTCTTAAGTATTTAGAGTTCTGGCCTAGAATATTTACCTCTAAAGGATAAGTTTTGAGATGTTAAAAATAAAATTGCATCTAAAATACAACGAAGTATTTCACGTCATCTGGCTACTTCCTTTTCTAGTGCCTTTTGGAACTCTGAGTCGATCCCGCGCTGATCGACAAGAGCTGAGTGCAAAGTCTTCCAATTGAGATATTGACTTAGATGAACTGGGTTGCTATGATGACTTTTAATACGATCACTCAATTTTCTCCAGTCATTTTTTATTCCTCCAATTCAGGGAAGAAGAAGAGATCGATCCCCATAGGATCCGGAATTTTCACACCCAATTAAAGAACACGGGAAACAAAGTAGAGAGTTAGACGATAGGCTCCATATCAGATAATCTCGTTGAACTTTTTCTCCATTAGGCAATACAATGAAAAGAACTTCTTTTGGAAAGGCCCTGTTATTAGAAGTATCTCGTGGGAAATCATCAGGTAAAGTTGATGGACCTTTTTTGATTAACTCTTCTTTTTCTCTTTGTTTAAGAATCGATGACCAGAGTGCTGGGTCAACGAATAGCTGAAAAATAATTACTATTACTTTCTAAATTCTGAATAAAATTATCTCTAAATTGTATTCACAGTTTGCTATTGCTAATTATCAACGTTTGCGTTTTTTTTACTTTAGTCTGATGAATGCAAAAATCTCAAGGGACATTTTTAATTTAATAGCGTATAGAATACGAAATCAATGATGAGTTCGTATTTTTTTAAAACTTTTTGAGGAATAAAAAACAATGATATAACGCGAGTAATATATATATTTTAATTATAGAATTTTAAGAATAAAAAAACTATTTTATTTTACTTCGGCATCTGGCGCCCCATGGACATCTGTCGCCCGGGACAAACTGTCCTGGTTGCCCCCCTCCCTCCTCTCGGCGGCCCTGTTTATATATATATATATATATATATATATATATATATATATATATATATATATATATATATATATATATATAACTACTAATACTTGATCTTTTTTTAATTTTTTCTACTTTCTTCATTTCAATGCTGATTTATTGCTACTAATGCTTGATCTTTTATAATTTTTCCGCAAATTATTATTGTTTTTTATATCACGATTCTATTTCAAACTCTCACTATTATAAATACTGCTATTTTTATTATTGTTGTTGTTATTATTACTATTATTATTAATAAAATTGTTATTTTTATTGTTACTATTATTATCATTTTGATTATTATTACCAATAACTGGTGTTTTTATTATTAATAATACTGATACTATTATTATTATACTATTTATAATATTGTTACTGTATATTATTATAATCTACTTTTTTTTTAATGCTTTATATCTAAATTATGCATGTAAAAGTCTTATATGTTAGATAAATGTAGAAAAGTTTTAAATATATCACACTTCTTACTTTATCATTATTACATGGTTTTCTGTTTAAGTATTGTACTGTTTACGCTTTTTAGTTTTTCATTAAAGTGTTTACTCAAAATTAATACTTGTACTATATGTAAATATTCCATGAAATGTAAAACTGATGCACTCTTTTAAATTTTTATTTGTCAATTTTGAACTTGACGATCACTAAAAACGGCACTAATTAATTCAAAAATGTCCCATTTAGAATATTTGTTTAAGTTAAATTTGGATAAATGTTTACGTTAAATTTAGATTCAATAACCCAAAAATTCATATTCCTAAATTTTTATGAAATCGTTATGAATTATTGAGTTCAACAACAGTTGAAACCACTAATGAAAATCTAAACTTTTAAAAAACAATTATTAGTATAACATTATATTGATAATTCATTATTAGTCTTGGGACGCTATTAAGCACATAGAGTATCAACAAAAGATATTTAAATTTTAATAAAAAATTGTATTTGCAGTACTAATAAAATATTTACAGGTTAAAATAGAAACAAAATCTGCAATCAAAAATAAACTTCAAATATAACCTACTCGAATAAAAATTTCCTTTTTCCTTTTATTTCAATTAGATGCAAAGGTGGGTAATAAATATATCTACAGATAACAGGTAAAGCATACATACATACATACATACATACATACATACATACATACATGTATGTTTATATATGTAAGTATGTTTATATATGTATGTACGCACCTTCAAGGTTTCACCTATTATTAATTATAAAGATAATCATCTATATAGAGATTCAAACCTTGTTTTTAGATTTTCAAATTTTAAAAATATTTATAGAAATCCGGTAAAAGAATTTGAAGAAAGGTAAAAATAAAAGACTAGTCTAGAAATCAAACAAAACTAATTTTTTCGTTTTGTCTACCACGAATAGTTTCGCCATTTAACAGTTTACTTTTCTCTGGTGTAGGTATTGAGTTCGTTTCAAAAATACTCTCATGCACTGAAAATGTTGCGCTGGTAGTCATGGGAACTATGGAAGAGTCTCGAATGTGTATTTGATCTTTTAAATACTGATTAGCATGAGAAACTCCTGCATAATCAAAAAAATTCCCTCTCTCAAGTTCAACACTTCTTCGATATGACACTTCAGAACACTCAGGATTGCTTGTTGATGCTAACCGAGTGCAAAGTGGAGTTGGCGGGGTAAAATTAGCAATAAAACTATTGTCAGTGAAAGAGCCATTAGGTGTGTAAAAGCTATCGTTCAAAGTATCTGAAGGAATTTCAAGCACTTCAAAATCTGAATCTTCATTTAAAGCTTTTAATATAGCAATTTCGTCTAATACATTAATTGGTTTTGGACGAGGCGGCATTGAAACGCTTGTAAAACCTAGGCGTGATTCGTTAGAATTTTCCGTTTTTAGGTTTTGTGAGGAGTCTTTTTTTTGTACATTAAAATCAGTAATTGGCGGGGCAGAGTTTTTTCTTATTAATTTACTTTTCATAAGATTTGGATCACTATGAAACAAATTGACATCATCTTTAGCATGATCACTATTTTGCGATAAATTACTATTTATACTATCTTTGCTTAGAAATGAAGTATCTATTATACTTCTATCAATAGCGGGAATATCAGACCAACTCTGAATAGAGCAAAATGTCGTTGTACTTTGTGAAAGTTTAGTGTGAAGTTCTTGTGCAGCATCTTTGAACAGATGCGTCGGACTTGCTGTTACTGAGAAACTTCGAGTTAGAACAGGTGGGCTCGACGAAGTAGATACTTTAAGAAAATCAGGTAGTTCTTGTTTACCTATTATAACACCACGTTGGTCTTCTATGCGATTGCTTTGTGATTTTTTAATAACATTTAATAAAGCTAAAAAATATCAATACAAAGCAATTTCATACCTAAAGTATAGTTCAAAAAAAGGAAATTTTATAAAAAAAAATTTAAATTAGTTTTTTGAGACATACCTGCTGTGCTGTCAGGACCAGCACTTTTAGACCTGCCTAAAATCAAATGCTTCATTTCATTACTAAATTTTTTTGTTAGGGTCTGATCAAATTTCTCTTCAACATTCTTTTCATCTTTGACAAAGCTAGCAGAACGAAATTTACGGAAGGAAGCTCGAAAGTCAGAAAGAACAGGCGATTTAGCTGAATCAAGTGATGATTGGCTGGCTAAAAATATGATTTGAATTTCAAAATTTGAACATTTTTATTGATTTTATAAGATGAAAGATGTATAATATTTTAACCTAATTTTTTATTTGGTTTTGATTTTTGAGCTATCGATTAAATAAAAATAAATTGGAAATATCCCAGTAACAGTTTTCCGCTGCTAAAAATCAATCATAAAATGTTTTTCTAAAAGAAAATTTATTTAAAAAACTTACATTGTTTTTTGGGAGCTCTTTTTGTTACAAGCCTTTTGTTTTCAACATTTTTAATGATTGTATTCAGTGCGAGACAAGATTTGCTGTCAAACTGTATACAACATAGTTAAAAAAAAAAAAAATTGTTACACTTATAACTACATGACTTACTGACAAAGTTTATCTGAGTAACTTATAATTACCAATAATATATTAAAATTACTGATGTCAAAACCATTTTTTTTCATAACAGGCTGAAGAATGTCATGTAGAGTCTTATTTGGATTAGATTTTATACCAACTGATCGGTTATTCGGTAGATCAAACCTAATTTTTTAAGAGTTAAATATAAAAATAAAGATTGAATACTTAGTTCACCTTAGTTAAATATAAAAATAAAGTTTATATACGTGGTTGTTCTTTTAATATATGTTTTAAAATATACCTGAATAAAACACGCTTTTCAAGAAATAAAGCTGCATCTTTATACAAAGTAGCATCAACATCAAGATTACAAATCTAAAACCAACAGGCCATATAAATACAAAAACATACATATATACATTAGCATATATAGATATACAATTCCTGACATTTTTACTAATTTAAATCCATTTGGCTTTTTTTGCTAAAAGATGGAAAAAACAAATAAAAAATAACTGCTGCCCCAACCCAAACCTTTAACCAATGATTTTCCAATCCCTTAAATGTTCTACCTAGTGTTGTTAGGACATTTAAAATCAACTAATAAATTTTCTTAAGTCAACTAAAATTGACTTCTACATCTTTGAAATCGACAAAGTGAACAAATTTTTTTCCTGAATAATTTGTATTAAAAATATTTAGATGTTATGATGTTAAAAAATAATTTTTAACATCATAACAATCTAAATAATAATAGAGCAAAACAATATAAGAGCAGAGCCACTCCAACAACCAGACAACTTTTATCCAAAATCCAATTATTTAGGTTCAAGCCTTATATACTTGCTAAATACCGAAAAGTATATATAATCTTATTTACAATGTGATTGTAAAGATGACATTTAGATTTTGGAGCTTCACAAATTATTTTTGCCCCAGGGTCCCGAGCCAGCTCAGAACAGCCCTGTATGAAAATATTTATGAAAATCACAAGTATACAGTAAACAAAAAAATTAATAAAATACATAGCCAAAAGTTTAATTAGATATAAACAATGCTAGAATGCTATGAATTAGATAAAAAGTTATAAAAGAACAAACTATTGTTGTTAAATGAACAAAAAAAAGATATAAGGATTTTAAGCACTATCATATTACTTCCCTTCCCAGGCCATTAATTGAAGAGGAAATTTACCTAAAATTGATTTTTGAGGGGTCTTAAGAAAATGCCAATCTTTTATTTTTTGCTACATATATTTGCTTATAATTTTGTTTAAAAATATATGGTTTTATTTAATTTTTGGTAGTATTGAAAATCGTATATTTGAAAAAATTATCTATCAATTATCCTTATTGAATATCAACATATATTTGTCTATATTGAAAAAGCAACATGTGCAAAAATAAATAAATATATGTTTAATCAAAATCTAATTTAATAACAGAGAAAAAACATTAAACAATCTAATAATAAAAGAAAAAAAATAAACATTTAACTTTACTTTTTATTTTATTTTTTATAACCTCAAGATGTCAAATTTAAAAATCTTTTTGTACTGTTAATTTTTTTTTTTTATTTTGTGTAAAAGTTAAGTGTCTTTGCAATAAGTGTTTTTTATTTGGATTTTGACTATTTGTAACAATGCTCTAGAAAAAACAACAGCAACCAAATTTAAACTTAAAGGTAAATTTATTTGTACTGTTTATATGGGATGTCTTTACTTCTCTTATCATAACATAATTGCTTTTTTTATTTAGATTTATCTTACAATGCTTTTTCTGCATATTGCAGAAATAAAGAGGGCCCTCATCTTATAGGACATGCGCAAAAATCTAAAGTAAAGACAATGCTCCTTTAGTATTTTAGTAGTTCCTTAATCTACCATTTGTTAATTGATGATGTAGTTGTAGTTAAATATTTTTTGCTAATATTATATTTTGTTTTATCATTTTGCTTATATATAGAAATTATATATAATAAAAAAAAGTGTAATGTTAAATGATGTTTTGTTTTATAAAAATTACTTTTGATCTCTTTTATAAATAAGAACTTGATTGTTTTATTTGTAAATAAATTTTGTTGAAAAGATATATTTTGTTTCTTTATTTTAACAATTTTTTTTTTTAATTGTCAAAAAGTCTATATTTTGTTCCTTTTTCTAATAATTCATGTTTTTCTAATTGTGAATATATATATATATATATATATATATATATATATATATATATATATATATATATATATATATATATATTCTTTTAATTTGCATTTTATTATTTTGGTATAATTAAAAATAATTCTAGAACAATAAAGGAGAATAAAATAAGAAAGGAGCAGACTTACCAAGACTCAAATTTTATATATATATATTGTATATATATATATATATATACACATATATATACATATATATATATATATATATATATATATATATATATATATATATGTATATATATATATATATTATATAACTTTTTTCACATTTCTTACAACAGTTTACACCCTCTTTTATTGTTAAAAAATAATTTGCAACATTACTTATTATTAAAAAATTGTTTGCAATTACTCTTATTCTAAAATAATAGTTTGCACTAAACTTTCTCATCATTACACAATGGTTTTTACCGTCTCAGTAATAAAAAAGCTACTTTTGATATAACTTATAACTGTTTTATAGCTTCAAACTAGGTTTACTGTCAATTTACATGTGTGGAATACATTAAGACAAAATAATTTACCTGGCCATTTTGTCCTATAGTTACATCATAAGATGATAAAACAATATTTTTTTTTTCTAGAACATCTTTTAGAGCTTCTCTTAATGACACTCCTTTATCTGTAGTAAAAATTCTAGAAGTTCCATCAGGAAACATAATCCTTAGCAATCCAGAAGTGTTTGATGAATCCGGCCCATCCCACAACTATTAAGATAATTTCAAAAAATAAAGCACCTATTTTATGCATGACAATAGAATGAAATATTTCATTAATATTTAAATACTAAACAATTATTACTTAAAAATAACAATAAACAAACATGAATAAAAATTTTTTTTTTTTAATATAACTTTTACTTAGAAAGATAAAATTATATTTAAAAATAAAATAAAGATTAAACTAAAATCATTTTGGGCATTACATTAAATTAAACATATCTTACAATGTATAATTAAAATTCTTGAGGCCCCCTCACAATTTAAGTCTCAATTCAAAAATCTTAAAATCTCTTGAATCACAATTTGAGGTAACAACCATCAAATATCTCAAAGGGTTTTCATAATGACTTATTTGATGTACCAAAACATTTACTATAGAAAGATTGGATAATAGATAACTAACCATCCAATCTTTTGATAAAGTATCAATTGATTTTTAATTTACTGTTACTTTAATTACTTGTGCTATAGCTTAAACACACTTAAGCTGTTGTTCAAACACACTTAGGTTAAAGGTTGAACACACTTGTGTTATAGTTTAAACACAGTTGTGCTATAACTTGCACAAACTTGTGCTATATTTGTGCACTGTCAATTAAGAACATCCAAGTGCAAAAACTGAACTTTTTTAGTCAGGTATAGAATATGATTCCTTATAAGATTTTGCTCTTGTGAAAAATTTAAGAAAACCTTATATAAAAGAAAATTAGTCCTAAAGTCAAAACAAACATAATAACATATTTACACATTAGTCTAATATTATTCAGTTTTTGACCAATAACTCAAAATCTAGATTTCTGTACTTTGGGTGATTTTGATTGGCAGGTCAGTGTAGCTTGAACACACTAATGCTATAGCACAAGCACACTAAAAAATAAACTATACACAAGACAGCATCAATATTACAAGAAAGTAAAGTTTATTGATTTTTAAATATAGCATTTATGTAATTCATCTTCCATATCAACACATTTTCATCTTTCTAGCATTTTTTAATTTTATTTGGAAACCTCATCTTTGCAACAACATAAGGCAACTTTAAACTTAATATATTTAAATAAAACCTTTAAAACATGGCCTTGGCTATAGTTGTTTTATTAAAAATATTAGATTTATTAAAAGTGCTAAAAGTAACAGAAAAAGGATTAAAAAACAAGTTAAAAAGCAAAAATGAGCACAAAATAAAGAATAAAAAATAAAAAGAATTAAAAAGTTTGTCATTCTATTTTTACTATTTTTTCTGAAGTAATATCAGCTATATTGCACAATATGCAAATATGGGGGTTTCAGTACACATACATATATATATATATATATATATATATATATATATATATATATATATATATATATATATATATATATATATATATATATATATATATATATATATATATATATATATATATATATATATATATTGGTTGGACACAGCATAGTCCGGCCAAAAAACCATAAATGCTTTGATTTCAATTTTTTTTTATTGTGTTACATTAGAGTTTTAACTTAATTTTAAGGGGCTTGATGGGCTGTTTGGCAAGAGATCGAACTTTATAGCGGATTGATGCCATCATTTCACAGATTTTTTCTTTTTTCATCTTATTGGTGGCATTAATCCACTTTTTTTGAAAATCCTTTTTATTTTTTGTTACTCCACCTGTCTTACGAAGAACTCCTTTAACTTCAGGACAATTTAGAGGATTCGCATCTATAGGATCGATTTTCACATTGTTATCTTTGCACCACTGTAGAACTTTTTTAGAATAGTGGGAAGCAGCAAGATATGGCCAAAAGAGACATCCGTTTGTGTTTTTCTATAAAGGGCAAAAGTATTCAATTATACACATACTTTTATCCGCCATAATTTCAACCAACTTCTTTGCACTTTGAATTTCCTTAATTTCACCATTTAAGCTTCTCTAAGATGTATTTTTTTTATGAAATGCTTTAACTCCAGCATTTTTAAGTACTTTTTTGATATAAGAATGCAAAATCTTGATTTTTCTTGCTGGATCTCACTGTGACGTTCGGATTTCTTGCTATTGAATGTAAAATCTATGTTACCTTTTTGGATTTATGTAAAGTTTTCTTCCTTCCACTTCCAGGTTTTCTTTCAAATGTTTGAGTAATCTTGAACTTATTTACAATATTTATGGCTGCAGATTTTGGGACATTTGTACATTTAGCAATCAAGCAATTGAAGTCGATGGATTTTAGCCAAAAAATTCAAAACTTTTTTACGCACATCAATTTGTTTCCTAAACATTTTGCAAATCATTGATTTGTAAACAAAAGTTTATCAACACAATTAAAGATAAGGAAGTAACGTTTAATTAAAAAAATAAAAGAAATAAAAAGCATTTGCGGTTTTGGAAAAAATCTTAATTTAAACTTAATTTTTCCATGTCCACCCAATATATATATATATATATATATATATATATATATATATATATATATATATATATATATATATATATATATATATATATATATATATATATTTAATATTTATATATAAACGAAGAATAGTGAA